AATTGGAAACCATTGTATGTTAATTGGAAACCCATTGTATGCTAATTGTAAACCCATTGTTTGCTAATTGTAAACCCACTGTATGCTAATTGTAAACCCAGTGTATTCTAATTGTAAACCCAGTGTATTCTAATTGTAAACCCAGTATATTCTAATTGTAAACCCAGCGTATGCTAATTGGAAACCCATTGTATGTTAATTGGAAACCCATTGTATGCTAATTGGAAACCCATTGTAGGCTAATTGGAAACCCATTGTAGGCTAATTGGAAACCCATTGTAGGCTAATTGGAAACCCACTGTATGCTAATTTGAAACCCATTGTATGCTAATTGGAAATCGGCCACACTTGTATTCATGTGTAGAGTGTAAATCACTAGATGACTTATAAATTAGCACTGTATTAGCTACAAAAATGTAAATAACTTGTAAACTACTATTGTAAATTAGACAACAGACACAGGGGTGAAATAAGAATCTTAGCTGTTTGGCATTGTGGAAGAACTAATGTGGAAATATGAATAACTCAAACACACACACGTGTACACTGAGGTGATATTAAAACCTTACCTGCTGGACAGTGTGGGAGGTCTGATTTAGCTATGCTAGTAACTCTCTGAAAATCATCATGGCATGCATTGCAGAAGTGAGTTGTACCAAAGCAGAAGAAGACTGCCACTGAACAACAATAACGGCATTTATACTCCAGATAATCTGTACCATGTTTAGGACACATCTGAAGCAAATAATACAGACAGTGGTAAATTTAAAAGATTACACACCACAAATAACAGACTGCAGACTATGATTAGTGAAGAGATAATTAATAAAAAAAAAAATTAACAGAACAGAACAGAAATGAATAAGGTGGTATACAAAGTCATCAAATTTTGTCAACTTTTGCACTAAAAACAAAATTTAATGGCTTTTATACAGTGTTCTCAAAAAATTATGCTGGTGTAAATTGTGCCTGGTAAGACAAAAATCACATATTATTGCATTGTATTGCTTACATAAGACATAAAGATGGCCACCACTGGACATTGCTTAATTACATAATAGTTATGCCCTCATTCCAAAATGGCTTAGCTTACACTCTTCCATGTCATCTTTTTATTATGCCGACAGGGATAAAAAAACAGATGTTAAATCGTGCGGTAATTTTGCTGTATTTTACGGGGTATTTTAGAATGTGAATTTCAAATATGGAATGATTACGCGTGTAAGCGTCCTCTAATAATATAAACATGGCTGCCACCAAAGTTTGACCGGACTCCACACAAAGAAGTTCACTGATTCTGTTGTAAACATTTTGGATTTCGGAATTCCCATGGTGTATCCTTGGAAGGGAAAGATGTATAATAATAATAAGGTTATTACGAAGATACTTCAAAGTATGCACTCAGACAGTAATCCGCACATCGACCTCTGCTGCGCGTCAGTCGATACTCCAGCTGTACTGTCTTTGTGCATACTTTGAGGTAATCTCGTAATAACCTCATAATATTACAATATAATATAAATGATAATTGATCAGCACAGATTTATAATAATCATATACTGGATTTAATTACAGAAATAAACACACAACCAACAGTAACAGATACAAGCCTGATTTGGGTATCAATTTACCTGTGCTCTGGAAACATCAGAACATCCACCACAAACCAACTCAGAAGGATCATACTCATCAGCACCACCAACTTCTTGATCACAGCGAGCTTCACCGCCATAATAAGCCTAATAAAGACAATAACAGATCTATCATGATACACAGCTGATCATCTTTCGATCACCATCTCATTTCCTTGTTCAAGCTCTGATGAAGTTCACCAGTGTTTTAGTTTATGTTGGAACTGAAAGTGCTAAACTAAGTGTGCACCATACAGACGGTGCATTTCACCAAGAGAAATATAAACACACATGCACCATGTTTGGGACTACGTGACAAGGCTGTGTAATGAAAGTCAACTGAATGAATGAATGAATGAATGAATGAATGAATGAATGAATGAATGAATGAATGAATGAATCTAAACAAGTAGCACTGGCTTTTCCATTGAGTCTGTAGCACCAAGGTTTTG